CACATGTGTGTGCTTGCCCCACCCACCCTTCCAGGGCCCCTCATGACCCTGCTGGGTGTCCCTCCTCCCCAGCATCAAGTACATCATCGGGAAGGACACCTGGGTAGAGCTGTGGCCTGAAGCGGACGAATGCCAAGACGATGAGAACAAGAAGCTGTGCAGGGACCTGGCCAGCTTCAGAGAGAGCATGGTCGTCTTTGGTTGTCCCAACTGAGCCCTCATCAGGCTGCTCCCCCCAATAAAGCTTCTGTTTGTTAACATAAAAACATTCAAACCTGCAAAGAATGTTTGTGAGCTTATTTGAGCCAAACTGTTAACAATTGCGGGAAAGCAGAACCTTGACAATTGCCAGGAAGCAGAATCTCGTCGTATTGGGTATTGGGATAACGCTCCAGCGCATGGCAGTTTTTCATCTTGTTTTATATTTTACAGCCAAAGGAGGAGACATAAGTGGGTTACATGACATCTATTGGTGATAGATTAGGGAGGCGGGAGAAAGCAAAGCCGGGAAAACTCTGGGATTGGATAAAAAGTAAAATGATAGACAAACACTTCTTTTACTTAGGTTGGTGCAAGACGGTTAACAATTTTATGTCAACAATGAACTCAGTAACAGTGAGGGAATTTCTGGACTCCGCAGCATGGTGCCTGTGCTTTCAGGGCGCCGGGAAAAAGGGAAATTATTTTGACATTCCAACGTTATGTTATCGAGATGCAAAAAGACAATAGGCTCACTCAAGGTAAAAATTGGCCTTTGTCAGGGAAGATACTGACCTAGAACATGACTATTCACTATCAAGTGCTTTTAGTTAAAGGCTTAATTCCAGACCATTCTTTGTGGCTACTTTAGGTCTTTGAGTTTGCAAAACTGCCACAAATGGTCTTCCCGGAACTAGTCAGGTGAGCATGTGACTTATTTTTTCGTCCATAAGTTGTATTCCATGCGATCTCCCAAAGTCTGGAGGTCTGTGCCAGAGAGAAAGTGACAGTTATGGTCCCTAGCTACCTCACCTGCATCTCAGCTCTGTCCTTACTTGAAATCTCCAAGAATCTTGCATTCTTTCCTATGTACTGATGCCCTCATCATCATCACCTGCAGCTCACTGCCCCCTCACCTGAGTGCTCACCTACTTGTTTTACTTGTTTACTTGCCTTCTTACTGCATCCTGAGTTTTTACCATTCTCAGTGGAATCTGTACCTCTCTTACCTGCATCCTCGACTATATCCACCTGCATTTTTGCATCCTCACCTGGCCCCCCACATCTCTACTTATACTTTCACCATCTTTCCACCCACATTCTCATCGGGGACTTCACCTGCATCTCTAAATCCTAATCTGGATCTCTTCCTGACTTCTTATCAGCATCCTTACCTACTTCTACCTACTCAGTTACGTGCCTTCTCACCTGCACCTTCTGCTGCATCTTTAGCTATGTCTTCATCAGCATCATAACCTTACAGTCTCCTCTCCTTTCTCACCTGCATCCTCACCTGCATCTGCACCTGTTCTCATACTCCTCATTCACAGCTCACTATCTCCAAGGCATTCTCACCTGCATTCCCTTTTGTCCTCTAGGCTCACCTCCCAGTCACCTCTTTCTAGATGGGCCTGCGCAGGCTCTTCTATGCTTCTGTAGGACCCAGTGGGGAGGATGTGCCCAGGAGGGGGCGGTAAGGAGCAGGCAGGGTGATATTTCCGGTGGGGGAGCCTGACTGAGTGAGGGGAAGGCATGAGTCAGCAGTTGAGGAGAGAGTACCGGGGCTGTTGCGGTCACAGCATCACCAGAACTGAGGGGGCGGGGGGAGGGGAAGTGGAATGACAGCCACCAGGTTGAGTGGAACTACTGGTTGCAAAGTGAAACTGGAACTCCAAAGGCCTCATCTAGTCTCTAGATCCTCGAAGACTGTTGAGGGTGGGAACCAAGCACAGGGTTCTGGATCCCGTCATCATGGGGGAAAAAAACCTACAGTCTGGAAATCACCACAGCACATCCCCCTGGCCCTAGAGCTCCTGGTCCTAGAAACCTCCACCTCTCACTTCCAGGATGGTGGGGGAACACATTCACAGCCCACCCCTACTTCCTCCAGCCCCCACTTGCCAGAGACTTCCATGGAGGGGAGACTCAAAGACTCTCATTACTCACTAGGTGTCCCAGCTGACATCTGCCTGCTGCTCCCTCCCCTGATGTGCGTATTCTCCTTTCTTTTCTTGCCTGTTTCCCCTTTCTCCTGCCCTGGGTCCGTTGTCCTCATTTCTTTAACAACTGGGGTTTGGTGTTGCTTGAGCACCTATGGTTCTAGGCCAGGGGTGGGCAAACTTTTTGACTCGAGGGCCACAATGGGTTCTTAAACTGGACCGGAGGGCCGGAACAAAAGCATAGATGGAGTGTTTGTGTGAAATAATATAAATTCAAAGTAAACATCATTACATAAAAGGGTACGGTCTTTTTTTTCAATAGTTTTATTAATTTCACACGGGCCGGATCCGGCCCGCGGGCCGTAGTTTGCCCACGGCTGGGTTAGGCAGTTCATGGGCAAGCAGTATGTGCCAGTAAGTTGCCTGCTTGCTAAGTGAATTTATACAAAGTGTATTTATAAATATTTCCTAGGACTCCTTAAGAATTCACTTGGACAAATCACTCTAACCCCTCTAAGCCTCGGTTTTCTTGTCTGTAAAATAGACCCTAGCCCGGAAGCGGGCTCTTGCCCCATCTCCCTGGGCAAGGGATAGTACTGCACTGCAATGGAGGTTAAGGGAAGGTCAGGCATTATGAGGCAGTTATTTTGAGGTTGGTGAGCTCATTGGTGTAGTAATTATTTTAGAGATTACGCGGGGAAGTTAAATATAATAAGGGCCGTGGTAATAGTAATGATAGACTATATATATATATATATATGTGAAAAGGGAGTTTACCTTTGATAATGTGGGCGAGTCTCATCCAATCAATTGAAGGGATGAAGAGGAAACAAATAAATCGGGTTTCCTGAAGAAAAAGGGATTCAAGACAGCAGTGTAGAAATTCTAGCCTTCAGACTAAATGCTGTGTCAACTCAACTGAATCTCTAGCCCACTGGAGATTTCAGATTGCTGAGCCACACAATTGCATGGGCCAACTCCTTAAAATAAACCTCTGTTTCTCTGTCTTCCCATATACAAATAGATAGATGATCCAGATTAAATATAGATGTAAATTAGATACAAAAACCCCTGCCTAATGCAGATGGTCAGGGATGTCTCCTGTGAAGGGGGCGGTTCTTGAGTCAAGACATAGATGACAAGGAGGATGTGGAAAAGACTGTTTCAGGCAGAGGGAACAGCACATGCAAAGGCCCTGAGATACCTGTTGCAGGGTGAGCGATTGTACAAGGGCTTCAAGATAGTGATATCCACTTAGTGTCTAAGCTCAGGGGATGGCAAGCTTTTTCTCTAAAGGGCGAGATAGTCAATATCTCAGGCTTTGAGGGGCGAGGGATAAAATGGAAGCTATTATTAAGGCACTTCCACCCTGCCATGCCATTTGCTTGGGATGGGCCTCTGGAGTGATGGGTGTGACTTGCGGCCCACTGCTGGAGACATTCTCTGGATGAAGAGTGATCAATCTGAGGCTTGGCAATCTAAGCAGGGGCAGAAGTGGGGGTGACCCCCAAGGCCAGTTTCTCTCTCTGCTCCAGTTCTCAGCCAGCCTGTCCCTTCCAGGCCCAGCTCTCTCATCTGGATAGCTGGTCAGAGGCAAGGCAACATGTTGAGTGACCCACCCCCAGAATGAAATTCATCCACTCAGTGCCTTCCAGTCACCAACAGAGGACATTCCAACATGTTGGGGTGGTCAGTGTGACCCTCACAGAGCGTGGACAGTGTTCAGGTTTGGGCTGCGGGTCAAGGAGGCAGAGTGGGGTTTAGGGGCAGAGGAGAACCCCCAGCTGTGTCTCTACAGCTCACTGAAGTCCCACCCCTGAGAACTGCTCCTGTAGCTGTACAGAAGCAGGAGGTCCACCGGATTGGCCTGCTTATTTTTGCTCATAAAATGGGTCAAGGGGGCAGAGTGGGGTTTAGGGGCAGAGGAGAACCCCCAGCTGTGTCGCTACAGCTCACTGAAGTCCCACCCCTGAGAACTGCTCCTGTAGCTGTACAGAAGCAGGAGGTCCACCGGATTGGCCTGCTTATTTTTGCTAATAAGCTCAACGGGAGGCCATTGAAAGATTTTATATATTTTTTTAATTTTGTAAATATATTTTCATAGATTTCAGAGAGGAAGAGAGAGGGAGAGAGGGATTAAAATATCAATAATGAGAGAGAATCATTGACCGACTGCCACCAGCATTCCCCCACTGGGGATCGAGCCT